AATCCAAGATTATTGCTTACTTTAAATGTTCGAGACATATTTTCTTTCATAATGTCCAGTTTTTCTAACGACCTGACTTGTTTTGCTTCAGTCAAAGAGCTTGATTCTACGAAGTGAAAACAAGAGTTATCGGCCTGTTTTCTTCAGAAAGGTTAGTTAAACTTACACGAACACATTTCAGGTGTAAGTATGACTTTTATCCGTACATTGGTTACATGATCAAGGAGCATGAACCTGTGTTGAATTCTCACAGGAGGACTTGGAAAAATCCCTAATACGAGCTTCACGCCAACAGAACCGACTTAACCCTTCTCTGAAGCCAGGCGATATTCAGGTTTTTGTTGTTATATCACTTTAATCTCTCTATTGCTCGTCAATCCCTAATTTTTCTCATCTCATAATATATTGAAATGCATGATTTTATATTCTAAAGGTTGCAGTTTTTGAAGAAATTGTCAAGGGGATGAAGGTAAATAATGAAAGAGTATACACTACAGAAGTTCTGTAATGCTTTTTTCATTTACTTGAAGAATGACTAGTTTGCTGAATCTGTTTCCTGGGATTTTGGATCGAAATTGCAGGAAAGCACAACGTCAAACTGGGACGACATTGTGTTTATACCACCTGGTTTGGAGGTTTCAACTGAGCAAACGCAGGAGTAGGTGAAAAAAATCCTTAGAGCATTGTAAAACCTGAACACAGCTTTTGTGTACACTTTCCTTGTCCATTTTCACATTCCTATCTCTTCATTCAACAACTTGATGAAGACTAGGAGAGAGAGTATTAGGACTGAGAAAGCTTTATTTTTGTGTACGGTTGATGATCCAGAGAAAACTCTATTAGCTAGTTTACCATCGCAGATAACATAAACATTAAAGTTATGGATCCAGTACAAAATCCACAAATCCAATGCACAGATACCATAATCTACAAATCTACAAATCGCATGATCCCGAATCTTAGTTACTGAAGAAGTTCCATAGTTTCAACTTTGCAGTAATATGATTTGGTCCAATGAAGATCCATAGTGCATTCAAAACAACACCAGGCTGAATAAGTATCCCAACAATGTAGAATTCGTCAAATTAGCCGTAGAAATGTAGAGCTGAAGCCTAGCAAGCGACATTGTGTTAAAGAGTTGGATGAGCTAGCAGATAGAAGGGAAGCCTCTGGTGCATTTGGAGTAGTTGCAGTTACTAGTCTTCGTTAATATAAATAATGAGATGAGGGATTCTCTTTGTAATTCCTTTCTATACTTTACAAAGTAGTGTTACAATGTAGATTCGAGATTACAATCTTATCACATTGATCCTATTACTTAGACGGATGTCGTGAGTAAAAGGTTGACTTAAGAGCATATTCCATCTATTACTCAGAAAACTGAAAAATCTTGCTACCTAATTCGTTGCGGGTCAGGTCATACTGAGAATTGAAGCTCAATATCACCAAGAAGACAAGACGTAAAAAAATCAAATACAAGACAACAAAAAAAGCTAGTGTCAGTCATATGGCAAAAAGTTAAATATTTGAGCATCCCTCAGACCAAGGCGGCAAACTTTGGCTACACTTCTTTTATACACAAAAAAAAACATCTGAATTAGCAATTTGGTTTTAGTTGCTCTCTCATCCAAGGAGGCTTGTGGCCATAAGCTTCATATACTTAAACGCCTTTGATCATCTTGTAACTTTGAAACAAAGATTCTCACGAGATGATCAAGCGAACTATCTGCCCCATATACTTAAACGCCTTTGCTGTTTCCTTCAAGCATTTGTTTTTTTCGTCCCGAGTCCAATGCTTCATTTCCCAAAAGCATCATCACATCAGATCAAAAGCATTCAGAAATAATTAGTTTTAGCAAGTGGAGGAATGAAGAGTTAAAATTAGCATTAACATTCTCACCTCCCCTAGAACATTGAGCTTCTCACGAACGCCTTTAAGCAAGTCTTGTGCTTCTCCTTCCCATCTATTAAACTCCAGCTCCTTCCCTCCCAAAAGCTTCTCAGATACCTTAATGAATCAGTTGCTCGGTTACATTTGAAAACCACGCATATAGAAGAGTGACCAAGCAATTATGACAAGTCTAAATCACGTGATATTGATAGAAGCTAGAACCATCCCTTGATTTATGCAATAAAACCGAAGAACATACCAAAAGAACCTAGGATTATGATAAATATTGAAAATGAAGACAAAAGGAGACTTCAGCCATTGCTTAATGGCCCCATCAGCCTAACTAACAATCGGTTATACTCTATTGTTAGAGGTTTTATTTAGGATAAGTAGTGTATTGAACCGACTAATGGAGCAAGCTTGGTCTGGTTCCGGTTTACGATCTCATTGTTTCTTAGCTACGGTTCTCTTTGGTTTACATCTGTGATTATAAGTAGAGCTCAATGAACAACAAACTCTAGATAACCTCAGCTCACTTGAATCTGCTTAAAATCATACCAATCTTTAACTCTAACAAAGTAGCTGTTACTGTTAGATATGCTGATGCGACCTTATGCAGTTGAAGAATTCTTCTATGTTCACTTATCAGATATTCGTCCTCAAGAAACTTACCTGTCTTATTATAACTTGACCACCATTGATGTGTGAAAAGTAGATATTGTAGAAATGAGAAAGAAACAAGGGTGCATTTTCCCCTGCCTGTTCTTCCAAGTACTTTGCATAAGAAACTCCTACGTTACTTGGTTCTGGGATGGCCAAATTTTGTGTTGTAAACCATTGTAGATCCCTCTCAAGACTTTCACTTCGCTCTAGTCCTGTTCTCCTGAAGTAAGCATCTGTAGATTGCCAATCCCATAAACCCATAATCATTAACAAATCACAAAAATCTCCATAGAATTTACTGTTTCCACCAATTGTAATTTCAGCTACTTTTATATAATACTAAAGAGAAAACCTACTCTTGAAAGTGAAATAATTAACGAATCACCAAATGCAATTTCAGCTACGTTCTATGTTGTTCAGCTAGAAAATGGAGAGAATTCAACTTTTGAAAGTGAAATTAGTTCAAAGTTTAGACCAGAAGAAGGATTCTTACAGGAAACATCCTCCGATTCGTCTACAATTCGCTCAATAGTATTGAAGACAAGCTTGCTATCGACCAAAAACTTAAGAAGGCCTTCCTTGCTCGGCCTCCAAGTCTCTCCCTCTAATTCATAATCGTTTTTTTCTTCTACCTTGTCTCTTTCAGTATCACTATGGCATGGATCCACTTTATTTCCATTAACGTTACGTAATCTCATGGCGACGAACCTCATTTCCTCTGTTATTCCAACGCTCTCTCCTGGGTGCTGCTTCCTGTATTTTGTCCTCTTCCTCTTTGAAGCCTTCTGATTGCTCGGCACAGTCACGGGAGGTGTCGATGACGAACGACGCGGACTTGAACTTTCAAAGGGGAGAGAGATAGAGTTACTTGAATCTGTGTGAGCATCTAGAGCTTCCATGATGCTTTCGACCCACCTGCCACACACACACAAACCCATGGAAAATCCAGGTGACGATTGGACTCAGTTCGCTCGGTTTTGTGACAAGATGACTCAATTTAGAGCCTACTTGACATGTTCCACCATATGAAAAGATCAAGAATTACCCTTCAATTCCTGGTTGCTCTGGGTAGTACACGTTTTTCAATCCTAGCCGTTTTGCAGCTGAAGCAGTTGTCTCCCCAATGCAGGCAACATAATTGCTCCATTGCTCCACATTTTGAATCAGATTAATCCAGGCCCTGTTTAAAAGAAGTAAATGATGGACCAAACCCATTCCATCGTAATAGAACATACTTATACGAGTGACTGGTAAAGGCATTTCGCCCATAACTTTTGCTACAAGAGATAAAGAAAGGATAGATGATGAGTTGCAATAAGAGGAACTTTAATGACACCTACCGGATTGCAGAAGGTGAAGCTACAGAAAGAACCGGCGCAGATAGTGCCTGTTGCAGGAGCATTGCATCAACACTCTGCACAGGAATCTAGCAAAAAAAGAAAAGAAAACCTGACTGTTACAGTGCATAGACATCTTCAAATAAGCACATACTAAGGACTGAAAAGAGAAGAACACATATATATATAATGTCGACTAAGCCAAATAATAGATGCAATACATATCTTTTAAAACTAATCTAGTAAATGTAAAGACGGCTTACTGTTGTGTATGTATTCAGCCTCAGAACTTCAAACCCACGACTGGACAACCCGTCCTCTAAGATTCATAAGTAGAGCAGGAAGCAGAGTAAACTGGTCAGTCATGGACTTTAAAATTTATGAAACAGTATTAGAACAAACTAATTTAACAGTGATTTCTTTTCAATAAGGTTGCTGGCCAACATAGAATTACTAGTCATTTGTCCATGTACCAATGATTAATGCACACTAAAGGATAGAGCAGAATATACAATACTTATCAAGTTTTTGAATACTATATGTTAGCCAGAGTAAATAGTATTACTGCATCTCAAGAGTTTGGTAATTTGGTAAGTATATCTATCTAAATGCAATACGTAACAAGGTATTATCCAAATGCCTAATAAAATTGTACAGGATATGGATTATCTGTTTTATTTTCATGACTCAGTCCTAATATTTTTATTCTATATGGATAACACAATAACCTCAATTGAATTGAGAAAACCTAACCACACACACCAATCTCATTGCTTGCCTTCAGAGAAGCTGGGTATAAGACAGAGGACCTTTTGCCAACATTATCTGGAAGCTCCATAGCCAAGACTTTCCCAGTTGCTGAAAGAATGAAAACAAAAGACAAAACAACCAGGCAAAAGCGTAATTATTGTACGTTCACCCACTCATCCATAACCTAATAATATTTATATCGGCCTGACGGATGCAACACGATAACATACACATCGATGAGAGACATGCGATGGAGAATAAATGTAGCTTGGATTATTAATATTTCTTTGGTGTTCTCTGGATTATTAATGTAGCTTGAACAAACTAGGCAAAGGTATCCATCACACAAATCAAGCATACAGAATTAGAGCGAGATATTGCACATTCATACACTATTAAATGCTTGAAGAAGCACAGTTTGCAGGTATAAAGACTAAAATGCAGTGAATAGAAACTGTGCGTCTGAATAGAAAAGCTATGGAACCTTTTGATGGTGTAAAGGCAACATGAAGCGATCCTTCTGCGGATTGCATTGTCTCTTCAAATACGCGAGCTGTTCCAGCTCCCACAACACCTACTTTCACTTTTGGGGAGCTAGCTGCCCTAAGGAATTGAGACCAATGAGAAGGAAGAAGAACAATGAGGACACATTTGCATATTCTGACAACACATTACTTACTAAAACTCACAGAAAATAAAAAAGGGAATAGAGCCAGAACCAGGGCTTACTTCCACGCCTCGAGAAAGACAGAACCTGCTTCTGGAGATGTTATGATGATCCAGTCAAAGCTCTTATCTAGCAAAGCAAAATGAAACACCATCAGAATGATAAAATCTGCACTGCTTTAGAATTATGAACAAGTCACTAAATCAGAAAATCACCACTTAATACAGAAGCAAGACGATTGGAATCGGGTCCTGGAGCATGTTGAATTAGAGGAAGCTCTAACGATGAGATCCCATATTTCTCCTGCAAAAGAGTTTACGATTCGGAGGTAAGAGGAACATCAAATCTACAATTATGGATTCAGTACAACAAATTTCATGATCCCGAACNTAATTTGACTGAACAAGTTTCATAATTTCGTTTTGGCAGTAAGCAAATATACTCCAGTGAACACGAAAATCAATAANTANNCAAAGAGGAGCTTCGAGAAAGAGGTAAAGTGCATACCAATGCTTTGATAATTTCCTTGTTCTTTCCACTTTCTCGGGTTACTACAACCTGCGGAGTCGAATTGGAGCTACAAGACGATATAAACGAGGAAGAAGATGAATCTCGAACTCCTTTTTTCAGGCATTGGAGCTTG